CTGGCCTCAGCATGCCCCATACCTCTTGATTACTGGCCCCAGGCCTGGCACTAGTGGGAACCTACATTGGTTAATAGCTTGGCCTCTCCTGGACGCCTCCAAGCCCAGCACAAATAACAGCCATCTACAGTTTGCTGTGTAGTTCATGCTGGGTGGCCTTGGGCAGGGCACAGGCAGAGGCTGATTTTGCACCTCCTGGGAAGCTCCAAAGACAGTGCAACCAGTGGTCAGCTTCAACTACGCTGGATTACAACCCTACCACATCCAAGAGTGACACACTCAAGGGGTGGACATGGTGAACACCAAAGCTCCACTGAAGTAAATTCTGTTCCATAGGGGTGTCTCCAGCACAGCAGCTCTTTGGCTGTAGCTACAACTGGTCCTCACAGCTGATTGACTAGGAAGTCAATTCCTCTTAGTGGTACCAATAGCAACCAAGGCTCAACTACAACAGGACAGTGCACACACAGGGGAGCACCTAGAAGGCCCAGCTCAGGTAACTGGGCCCTACAGGACACCTACTACACAAAGCCACTCTACCAATTCCAGGAGACATAGCAGCTCTTCCTAATACATTAGAAATAAACACCAAGAAGCAGCCAAAATGTGGAGGCAAAGAAACATGTCACAAAAAAAGAACAGAAGAAATCTCCAGAAAAAGAACTAAATGAAATGGAGCCAAGCAAGCTACTAGATACAGAGTTCAAAACAATCCTTATAAGGATGTTTAAGGATCTTAGTAAGACTATTAAGGAAACAAGTGAGATCAATGACATAATGAAGAATCAGTCAGAAATGAAGTCTACAAAAACTGAAAGGAAGAGTCATTTACAGGGAATCAACAGTAGAGTAGAGGACGCTGAGAATCAAATCAGAAATTTGGAATATGTTGAAGCAAAAAACACCCAGTCAGAAGAGCAAAAAGAAAAAAGATTCCAGAAATATGAAGTTAGTGTGAGGAGTCTCTGGGACAACTTCAAGTAGCTGAACATTTGTATTATGGGGAATATCAGAAGGAGAAGAAAGAGAGCAAGAAATTGAAAACCTATTTGAAAAAATAATGACAGAAAACTTCTCTTACCTGGTGAAAGAAATCAATTTACAAGCCCAGGAAGCACAGAGAATCCCAAACAAGAGGAACCCAAAGAGGCCCACACCAAGACACATCATAATCAAATGCCAAAGGTTAAAGACAAAGAGAGAATCTTAAAAGCAGCAAGAGAAAAGCAGTTAGTTATCTACACGAGAGCTCCCATAAGACTGTCAGCTGATTTCTCAACAAAAACTTTGCAGGCCAGAAGGGAGTGGCAAGAAATATTCAAAGTGATGAAAAGCAAGAACCTACAACCAAGATGACTCTACCCAGCAAAGCTATCATTTAGAATTGAAGGTCAGATAAAGAGCTTCACAGGTAATAAAAAGCTAAAGGAGTTCATCACCACCAAACCAGTACTACATGAAATGTTGAAGGGTCTTCTTTAAGAAGAAGCTAATGAACAAAAGAAACTGACACACAAAATAGACCCAGAGACACTGAAGCATGCAGCAGATGGTCATATCTCAGAGGGAAGAGAGAAAAGGGGTGCGGGTGGAAAGAGATTAATCAAAGAAGTTATGTGTATATATGCATAACCCACGGAAACATACAATAACAGAGTGAAGGCCTGGCGAAGGGGTGGGAGTGAGGTGGAGGGGGTCAATAGGGGGAGGGGGAAATGGGACACCTGTTATGCTTTCAACAATAAAGATAAATTAAAATAAAAAATAAAAAATAAATAAATAAATAAATAAATAAATAATTGTTGACTGTTAACTATCCTACACCCACCTAAGTAAAAGAAATATGTGTCTATCATTTTACTTTTTATCTAATCCCAGAGGCTTCCTCACTTTGCTTTCTTCCACCTCCCTAATCTGTCACCAATGGATTTCATGTAGCCCACCTATGTCTCCTCTTTTGACTGTAATGTATAAAACAAGGTTCAAAACTGCCATTCTCTGGAGCATTATCTCAATCTGTTGAGATTTTGCTTCTCAGCAGTTGTCGACAGTTTTGGCTCAAAGAAACTCACAGAAATTCTTCACAGGTTTGAATGTTTCTTACATTGACAGCTGGAATGGGGTTACTCAGGAATTCTTGGTGATTTCCCAGGTGGTCCATCAACTAGACTAGTTTGGGGCCCATTAGTTCATGGAGCGTCCAGTTCTGCAGAGGCCACCAGGAGTGGGGGCTCCTTTGCCTAGACTCCAGCTCCATTCACCTGTCTAATGAAGCACTGTGAATACTAGACTGTCACTTTGGAGAACATTAGAGCTTGATATAACCACAGTAGAGCCACTCTGAACATATATTTAAATTCTCCAGGCTGGCTGGGTGTGGCTCAGCGGTTGAGCGTCGACCTAGGATCCAGGCGGTCCGGATTCGATTCCCAGTCAGGGCACATGCCCGGGTTGCGGGCTAGGCAGCCGATCAATAACTCTCTCATCACTGATGTTTCTATCTCTCTCCCTCCCTCTCCTTTCCTCTCTCTGAAATCAATAAAGATATATTTAAAAAAAAAAATTCTCCAATCCAAGTATATGTGCTCTACTAGAAAAATAAAGCCCTGCCCTACATTTCTTGAGCAACATGGTCCCTAAATGCAAGTGGACCACTTCATCTGATGTTCGAGGGAGTAGCAGCCAGATTGGTGTTCTCAGAGATAAAAGTGTCTGAGTGGGATTCAGGAAGAGACTGCACAATTTCCCCAAATTGTGTGCTTTATACTTTATGGAAGATTTAAGGGAGTTTTAAGGGCAACCTTGACAATGCAGGAGTTTCACATTTGACAAGGGGCTTGATCGTAGATGCTATTCTACTGAGAGTCCTTCATTTTCAAATGTGCTTACATTTCCACTATTTAGTTTCATCCTCACACCCACCCTCTGGGCAGACAGGGCGACCGACTCCAGCTATCCCACTTTGCAAATGGGGATGCTGAAAGGCAGAGTAATGAGCGGGCCGGAGCAGGGAGAACGAGTGACCAGTCATGTCATTTGCACCTGCAATGTGGGATCCTGTCTTTATTTAAAATGTTGATGTTTTGTTCATGATGGGCTTTTTGCATTAACCCTAAATTTTAAAATATTGTGTTCAAATATTATTTACCTTGATTACTAAGTCTAGGGCCTCAGTGGCCTTACTTCAGTCCTGGCCCTGCAGGCTGATATGTTTAACTTGAATCCTATTAAGTGGCCATTTATTGCATGTCAAAGGGGATGAATATCAGTAATTCTGTATGATTCAATCTACTGGAACCTCCCAGGGTGGAGCCCAGCCGTGAGGGCCCAGCTGGGTCTTCGTGCTGCATGTGACCACTTATATTTGTTCTGCACAGGCGTCCTAGCCTGGCCTCGTGTTAGAACCCACTGTGGGCTGCTGCTAAAGCCAGAGCCTCTGGCTGGAGGTGGGAACTGGCATGTGTATTTTCAAAAGGCTGCTCTGGTGCAAACCTGTGGCTTCTAGCCCCTGGATCAAACTAGGCTTCTGGATTTGAATTCTGGTCTCCTCACATTCTAACTACAGATCTGAGGCAGGTAGTGCCTGTTGAGTAATGTAGGTAAAGTCTAGCAAAGCACCTGGCACCTAATATATCCTGGACAGCAGTTAACGATTCTACACACTGTTACTGAGTGCTGAGGTTCAGAGAAGTCAGTGCTGTCACACGGCAAGTTAATGAAAGAGTCGGATTTGGGTCCCGAATCAGGTCTGCCTGGTCCCATAGCCAGAGTGAAAATGTCTACACTTGGCATCCACTGAATGCTCCCTCCAAGGATGGTGTCGCTAGGTACCCCACCCACTGAGTTTTCCAATGAGTCCCTTCCCTGTCCCCACCCCTGAGGATGCCTTGGGTCAGAGCTGAGCTGACCATGTAGAGAGAGGAGGCGCTGCAGCCTAAGCGAGGGATTGCCTTTGCCTGGGGGATTTCCCTCCGGCAGGGAAAAGCCCCTGAAACTCTGACCGAGCTGCCAGCTGCCTCCATTGCTCCACTTCCAGGAGTCTCCTTCCAACCTTCTCTGTTCGGGTTCCTGTTCCCAGCCCTCGGAAACCAGAGACTTACTGAATGTTGAAATTGTGGGCGCCACTGGGGAAACTGCCTTGTGGGACAGTTTCCTCTTTTGCTTTCTGCCATGCCACAGGGCAAAGAAAGTGAATTAGCAGGCCCTGTGGAAGAAGTGAACTTTGAACCCAGGCATTCGAGCTCCTGGGGTCTGTGTCTTAACCTCTGCACCATAGGACCTCCCCGTAGGGCAGGTAGGCCCAGCTCAGGAGACAGAAAGAAAGGGTTTCTCCCCTCAGGTTCCTCAGATCTCCCTGGGGCAGAGCAAGCACACATGTGCACACATGGAACATGGAAAACTGTCAGGGGAAATACAACCGAAGGCTAAACTGTGTGCATGGAACAGTGCTTCTGCATGCTAACATGTACATACATCAGCTGAATTTAATCTATATGAGGTGGGACCTGAGACTTCATTTCTAACAAGTTTCCCGGTGATACCAATGCTACCGGTCCATGGTCCACACTTTGAGTGGCAAAGATGAACCCCAAGAGCAAAAGGTCAGAGGAGGGAGGTTTCAGTGTGGGCTGAAGAGATCCTGGGGCAAGGAGCTGGGACTGGGCTTAGGTAGGGAGAGGGGAGGTAGAGAAATAGCCTTCCCGATGTCATCAGCTCTCTGTACTCGAGAGCCTGAGAGCAAGGGACTTGTGTCGGTCCCCTTAACAAGCATCTGCACCAAGCAGGAGCTGCACAAGTGAAAAGCCCTTTTCTGGGAAATGCCTAATCCTGATCATGGCAGGAAGCATTTTGCAAATTCAGAAATCAGAGCCAAAGGGAAGTGCTGCGTGATCTACAAGTAGCTACTGTAGTCAAATGGGAACAATCTTTCCCCGAGCGGTTCCTCCTGAGGGAAGCATTTCTGCTGGCTCCAGGACTTTGACCATCTATAAAGCTTCGCGATGGAAAAAACGGAAATTCTCAAAGAGGAAGAGTTCTTAGCTAGCACTGGAGGAAGAGCTGCTCTGGACCAAACCGTATTGTCTACAATGGAGGCCTTTGAAATCAGTGGTAAAGTACTACTCCCCAATAATGACATTGCCTGGTGAGGTAGGCTTTCTGCTGGCGACGGAAGACTAGAGGTGTCCATAGGAAGTCTGGGTTTGCACCACAGACTCTCACTGATACATTTCTGGAAGCTTCAATGTAGAATTTGTGTAATGCTAACAATAGATGCTGTGTTTTCAACATATAGTGGGACTTTTTAAGCTTCACAATTTCTTTCAATTGTATTTCCATACGATTAATGCTAATACTTATCATATGCCCCTCCTTTCTATTAGTGTCTTAGTCTGACACACAGGCTGTGTGATGAAATCGCAACGCAAAACAAGAGGAATGAAAACGTTCCACAGAACTGAAGCCTCATATTTATTTAATGCAATTCCTTTGAAATTCTTTAAGGTGACTGTTATAACTGATGTGTTGACCAGGGAGTGCTTTTTCTATTTCCCGTTGGCTAAGATATGTCCATAGCTTCATAATTAGTTTATTTAGGTTAAACTCAGATTTTAAAAGTTCAGTCCACTCTGTTGTCTTTATTTTTTTTGCTCAGTGTTACATGGGTGATGCATTGTTTAAATCTTCTAGAATTTGTAGCATTTAAAGTCACCAGTGAGTGCTTCCCACAGCGGAGCTCTGGTCTCCCACCCTACAACATGCTCTGCAAATCACCTTCCAAGTCAGTCAGCCTCTTCCACTCCCATGCTTTTCTGGAGCTACTGCAGCTCTGTCTGCTGGCCTCAGTGCCCCTCTCGTCCTGCATCTGTTTGTGCACCTCGCTGGTTGGATTTATGGAGGTACAAAGATGAAGGGCCTGGGGGGCTGCCTTTAGGAATTTACAGTGTGGTAACAGAAAAGGCATGCAGGCGAATGACTTTAGTAGCTGCTGGCTATTCAGAACTGTGGGGAATGCAGCATTCTGGATATATGACTTTTAAGATACTGAATTGTTCAAACAAAGTCAACTGATCAAACCTATTCAGCACCGGCTACCTGCTGGGCGTTGCACCCAGCACCGAGGAAACAGACAAAGATAAAGGCAGCCTCTGGCCTCAGGGAGCCCACAGTCCTGTCCGCGGTGGCAGGAGCCTGGCAGGGTGAGCCTGCCCATAACCTATTTCCATACAGTGCACCACCGGCTGTACCTGATATTTACACAGGACATTACACAGGAGTCTGGTGTGGGCCCTGGAGGTCAGAGCTGGGACCTGTGCTAAAGTTTAATGGATAAAGGGGATTGGTTAGAGAATGGTATGGTGGCTGGGGTGGGGTAGGAAACCATATGTGTAAGATATATTCACGAGGAGTATTCAGAGAAATACAACAGCTCAATATGGGTGGGCCAAAGTTGGGTGGGGAAAGGTGGGTGGGGAGTGAGGCTAGGGCCAGGTAACACGGACTTCATGCTAGGGACAAGGAAGGGGAGCTTTGAAGGGGCTGAGGCTGGGCTGAGAGGCGTTGGTGTGCATTTGAGATTGATGGAGCAAACTGGAAAGAGTAATGCTGGGGACAGAGGAGCGTGGCAGTGAGAGATGATGAGAAGCAGTGACTGCAAAGAAGGAAAGAGGACGGTCTGGAGAAACATTAGCAGTCAACCAGTGGGACCACAAGGCGGCACCCCTCAAGTGGGGGAGACGAAAGGGGCAAGGGTGAGTCCCAGATTTCTGACTTGGGTTGTGGCTGCCACTGACTAAATATCCAACCAAGAAACAAAGTCACTCCAGTTTGCATGGAAGGAATATTTTCCTAAATGTATTTCCGACTTTCTGTCTTCTCGTACAAAGATCACGGAACAAATGGAACTTTCTAGATGAGTGCCATTGTGGACAGCGATCCCTATGGGGCTCTGTAACATAGCGACCCCATCAGGTCTTACCCGGATGAATACAACTACTTGTTTCAGCACTGAATGGCTCCGGGCATCTTCACTGATTGGTTTATTTCTGCGAAGGTTGCCTTAGTTTTTCTGAAGAGGCTTGAACCCTGTAAGTCCAACAAGACCCCAGGTCTTTCCTCCTGAGCTGCTATCAGCTGCATTTCCTGCATCAGTCATGGAGCATTTGAGCCTGACCCAGAGACTTTGGGTTTGTCCCTGTTAACACTCTCCGGGATGTGCCCCCTGTTGCTCGCATCTTCCTGTAACTCTCCTCATGCGTCTGGTTTCTCAGGGGTTCTGCCCCCACGTCAGCCTCTTGCAGGCCTGTGGAATGTCGCCTGTCCGACTTCTCACCCTAAGCCCTGTTTCAGGCTGCACGTCTTTCTTCATGGTGTTTCCTCCCACTAATTTTAGCCTGAAGAACTTATATACTTATTTATTTTTAGTTTTTTTATTGACATACATAAATTAAAGGTGTACAATATATTGATTTGATGCATTACACTGCAGTGTGGCTGTCATTGTGGCATTAGCTAACCCCTCTGTCACACCACAGACTGATCGGGTCTTCTGGTGTCGAGGGCAGTTACAATGCAGTCTCTTAGCAAGTTCGATGTTTATAGCAGTGTTGTCTGTAGGCACCATGCTGTGCACGGGTTCCCAGGACTTACTTTTCTACTCGCTGCAAGTATGTACCGTGTCTCCCATGCCCCTCCACTTCCGTCCCTGGTAATTTATATTTATCTGCATCTATCTTTTCCTCATCTTTGAAGAGCATTCTTCTGGACAGAGAAGACCCCCAAAAATACAGATAGAAAAGTTTTGAGTTTTTTTGCTTTGTTTTTTTAAATCCTCACCCAAAGATATGATTCTATTGATTTTTAGAGAGAGAAGGGAAGGGAGAGCAAGAAACATCGATGTGAGATCAGTTGCCTCCCGGATGCACTCCGATGGGTATCAAACCCCCAACCTAGGGTCAAACCCCCAACCTAGGATCAAACCCCCAACCTAGGTGTGTGCCCCGACCAGGAATCAAATCAAACCCACACCCGTTCTGGTGTACGGGACCAAGCTCCAACCAACTGATTCACCCGGCAGGGCTGTTGTTTGCTTTAATTAACATTAAGCATTGGCTCCCAACCTTGAGACCAGTTGTCCCTTTTTCCTGCTCTACAGACAATTTAAAAACTTTTCCCAACACCTTAACCCTGGAGTCCATTCGGGGTCAGCCTTGCTGCCGTGACTGCTATATATTCGTGTCATTTGTTCTTTGCCATGTCACTATTTCTCAACATCTTTTAAGCATCTGGCTTTACCCTAGGGGTGTTTTGTTTGTTCATGTTTTTTTTTAAAAACTTTTTATTTAGAAATAATTATAGATTTACAGAAAGTTGCAAAAAAAAAGAAAGTACATGGAAGTCTCTGTGACCCTCTTCAAGTTTTCCCCAGTAATGACATCTCACATCGCTATGGTACAATATCCCAACTTGGAAATTGGCATTGTGCAACCTACAGAGCTTATTTAGATACATTAGTTTAACATGCACTCATTTCTGTGTGTGAACATAGAACTCTACAGTTTAATCATATGTGCATATCTGTGTAACCACCATCCAAATCAGAGTACAGGATGTGTGTTCCATCACCGCAAAAATCTCTCTCATGCCACTCCTCGTAGCCACACATACCCCTCACTCCCCACCAGCAATGACTCTCCCCAACAACCTCTAATCAGTGATGCATCTCTATAATTTTGTTAATTAAAGAATGTTATATAAGTGGAATTACACAGTATGCAGCTTTTTTAGGATTGGCTCTTTTCCACATAGCATAATTCCCTTAAGATCCATCCTAGGTGATATGTGTATCAATAGTTATTTCTTTTTATTAATGAATATTATTCTTTGATGGGAATGTGCCACGGTTTAATAGTTCACCCATGGAAAGGCATCTGGGTTGTTTCCAGTTTGGGCTATTACAAATAACTCTGCTATGACTATTTAGTAAAAGTTTATGTGTGAGCATAAGTTTTTATTTCTCTGGGTTAAATGTCCAAAAGTGCAATTGCTGGACTTTAAGTGTATGTTTGGTTTCTCAACAAGCAGCTGATCTGTTTTTCCAGTGCGGATGTAGCATTTCACATTCTCACCAGCAAAGTACAACTGATCCAGTTTCTTTGCATCTTTAATTGGCAGTATTACTATTTTTATTTGAGCCATTGTGACAGGTGTATGATAGTGATGTCTCACTGCAATTTTAATTTGCATTTTCCTAATGGCTAATGATGTTGAATATTTTTTCATGTGCTTATTTACCATTTGTATACTCTCTTTGGTGAATATCTCTGCCTGTCTTTTGCCAATGTTTTAATTAGATTGGGTTTTTTTATTGTTTACTTTTGAGAGTTCTTTATATATTCACAATACAAGTCCTCTGCTAGATATGTTGCAAATATTCTCTCCCAGTTTGTACTTTCTTTTCATTCTCTTAAAGTCTTTTGCAAAGCAAAATTATTTAGTTCTATTGAGGTTCAACTTTTCAATTTTTCCTTTTTTGGATTGTGTTTTTGGTGTCAAGTAGAACAACTCTTCATCTAGCTCTGGGTCCTGAGGATCTTCTCTTATGCTTAATCCTAAAAAGGTTTATAGTTTTACATTTTAAAGTTAAGTCCAGGGTTTACTATGAGTAATCTATCTTTATTGTTGAAAGTAGTACAAATATCCCCTTTTCCCCCATTGATCCCTTCTACCCTGTACCACTCCCCCAGGCCTTCAGCCCACTATTGTCTGTGTCCATGGGTTATGCATATATTCATATAAATTCTTATGTTAATCTCTCCCCACCC